TCAGTGGTGGGGTTGTAGCCCGGCGGGGGCTGCCAGGGGCTGCTGATGATGCTGGCGAACTCACGAGCGGCGTAGAGCGACATGGGCAGGATGTTGTACCGCACCCAGGTGCCCTCCTCGAAGTACCCGCCGATGTCTGCGGGAACCCAGGGGTGATGGGAAGGCCAGCTCCTCTCCCCCACCCCAGCCCCAGGGAGGGTCCCCACAGTGCGGGCAGGTGCAGCGCCTCACCGTGGTTGCAGAAGGGGCCTTCGAAGGCAGAGACAGTGCAGTTGCAGCTGTAGTGGCTGTAGCGCTCGACACAGGAGCCACTGTTCTGGCAGGGCACCGGCGGGTCCTGGCAGTGCCCAGTGCAGTTAACCCGCACACCCTCCGTCTCATTGGCCTTGCCCTCCAAGTTGAGGGTCACTCCGTTCATCCGCAGCGCCCGCAGGCACCCCAGGAACGGGCGCATCTTGTGCTCCGCTGCACCTGCGGCGGGGATGAGACTCAGTGCCCTGCAGCACAGGGGAAACGGGGAGGTGGGGATGGGGACAGGATTCTCACCGACATAGAGGGGCCTGTCGAAGTCCAGGCGGACGAAGCTCTGCGGGGGGGCCGGCCGCACCACCCAGGGCAGCTTGTCCACCCGCAGCCGCGCCAACTTGACATTGAGCTCAGCCTTCACCTGGTGCCACTCGTCATCATTCCAGGGCACCACTGACCGCACCGTCAGGTTCTCGTCTCCGTTCCCGATGTCGTAGGCAAACACCACATCCCTGGTGGCTGTGGGGATGCAGTGTTAGGAGAAGCCCCCAGCCCTTCTTGCTCCCCTGCACCCCCTGCCTCCTCATACTGTTGAGCTCAACACGGATGTAGTTTCGGGAGCCAGGGTTCTCCAGGAAAACGCCAGACAGGGCGGTGGTCTTGAAGTAGAAGGAGATGTCGAGGCTGTGATTGGCCTGGAAGGTGGGGAAGAGCAGGGCTGCACCCTTGTTGAAGGAGACCGTGTTCCAGGTGTTGCCTGCAGGGAGCAGGAGGGGTAGTGAGGGACCAGCATGGACCTTCCACAGGCCCAGGACCCCTGCAGAAATGGGACCCTCCTTGGGTTTGGTCACTCACGGTCCCCGTAGCACCGCAGGGGCCCCAGCAGGAACTGGGCTTCGGAGCCAGAGCGGTTGGTGTCTCCAACCACAACCTGGGTGACAGGCAGGTGGTCCACGAAGGTCAGCAGACCTTTATCTGTCCTCCTGCAAATGGTGCGTGGTTCAGGAGGAGGAGTGAGGGGCTTCTGCCCTTCACCAGACCACAGCCCTGCAAAACCCCCATCTGAACCCCCCAGGGTCTGTACCCACAGCCCCATCCCAGCTCACCACATCGCGTGGTCGGCATCACAGTTGCAGAAGTACTGGGGGTCGGCGCAGTTCTTGTCCAGCCCGCAGGCGCAGCGCTGGATGCCCGGCCGAGAGCCCCCCCAGTAGTAGTGCCGCTCGTCGTGTCGGCCCATCCAGAAGCTGAAGGGCAGCCCGGCTGTGGGCACAGGGGGGATGAGGATGTGGCCCCACAGCACAGCCCCATGGCACAGCCCCACAACACAGCCCTGCTCCCCCAGCACTCACAGGGGGTGTTGAGCAGGCGGGAGCTGTAGCAGTGAAGCTCGATGCGCTGCTCACAGTACTCAGAGGCATTTGCCAGTGCTGACACCTCAGCCCAGGATGCGTTCCAGTACTCCACGGCCCCCAGGTAGGGCTGGTCCACGCTGGAGCCTGTCACCCGCGTGGCATAGTGGCGGTTGTGCCGGATGATGGTCCACGCCCGGTCCTCTGCAGAGGAGCTGTTAGGACCAGCCCCCCGGGATACCCCTGCTCCGGCTGCAGTGCACAGGCAGGGCTTGGTCCCCAGGTCAGAGGGACCCCCGCAGCCTCCCCTTTGCCCCCACCTCGGATGTCACAGTACACTGTGAAGGGCTTGAGTGGCCCACTGCCATCCGGGTCGATGGTGTAGTTCCCTGAGGTTTTCCCGCTGACCCGGTAAGCATCACATGACTCCTTGTAAAGGGCTAGAAGAAGGAAACAGGGCTGGGGTCAGTGTAAGGGGGGCTCCAGGCAGTGGGAGGAGCCATGGGTACCTGTCCTGTACCCCAGTCCATGGGACCCCGGCTTACATTTGTGGCAGGTCTCCCCCTTATACCCCGTCAGGTCGCAGATGCACATGAAGTCATCCCAGGACTGGATGCAGCGGCTGTCATGCTCACACAGGTTAGGGGTGCACCTGAGGACACAAAGGGCTCCTGCCGTGGCACTGGTGCAGGTCCCCAGCCCCCAGCTGCTCCCAGTGGCACCCGTGTCCCCTGATACCTGTCCGTGATACCACAGACATTGAAGAACACGTTGAAGTACTGCCCCAGCCGCTGCTGCACCAGCAGCTCCACGTCCACGGGCTGCATGTCCACATTCAGCATCTGCAGGCAACCGTGGAACGCTGTCTGGTTCGACCGGCAGCCGGTGATTGAGGCTGGAAAAAACCGCCCCCCCCCTCCAAAAGAGGTCGGGGCTGCCGGTGCGGAGCTGGAAGGGGTGTGCCACCCGAAACTCGGCACCATCGTCATCATCAATGGTCACCACGGCTGAGCCATCCCGTGCCACCAGCTGCACCGAGTGCCAGAAGCCGTCATTCAGGCGATGCCCTGTGTGGGGAGAGGAGGTTGTGTGGAGAGGCACCACGGCCAGACCAGCCCCTGGCCCAGCACCCGCTCCCCAGCCCACCTGCCGCAAACTCCAGCTTCTTCTTGCCGGGCTGGGCGATGGAGACATTGACCTGTCCCTCGCTCAGCACCACCTCCAGGGAGCCCAGGCGGTCAGCAAAGCTCCTGTAGAGCAGGAGCCCAGCCGTGTCCCAGGAGCGGAATCGGAAGCTGACGGCCAGACGGTTCCTCCGTGGGATCCCCGGCACCTGCACGTAGTTGTTGATGCCAGCAAAGGTGATGGGGGTGTACACCTGGTCCCGGCAGTAGTGGCCCACGCTGCCCTGGGGACAACCATGGGAGGTGGTGAGGAAGAGGATGCTCCTGTGGTGAGGAGCCCCCCCATCCCTATGGCCCCGCTCGCCCCTGGTCGATCCCATCGCCTGGCAGTGCTGGGCGGGTGCCCCAGGCCAGGAACGACCTCACACAGTCAATGTGGCATCGCTTGGCTGAGCAGAATCACTGCCCGGCCTCGTGTCACCCCACAGCAGGGGGGGAGCCTGGCCCCGGGAAAGGTGTCACCCCACAGCAGAGCTGAGGATCTTGCCCTCCTCGAGGAAAGGGAACCCCCCCAGCAGGGACAGGACCCTTGGGAAAGGGGCCACCCCCTGAGCTGGACCTCAAAGCGGATGTTGGGTCTCCGGTGCCGGGCCAGATCAGCAATGTTGACCCCATTAAAGATAATGTTCTCCACACAGCCCCGGAAGTTTTGTCGATAGGTGAGGTGCTGCTTGTCCTGGTCGATCACCCCCCCAAAGAAGATCTGGGGGTAGAGGGAGGGGGTCAGTCCCTTGCCAGGAAATGCTGTAGATCGATGTCCTGGCAGCTCCCCACCTGCTGCACCCACCTCGGTGTCGAGGTCGAGCTGGTCAAAGGTGCCATGGCAGCGGAAGCGCTTGACCTCCCCATCCAGCGTCAGGTTGACGTGGCGGCCGTAGCGCTCAATGTGCAGCGAGTGCCAGTGCTGGTCATCCAGGAGGCTGCCCACAGCCACTGTTGTGTGGCCCTCGCTGGCGTGCATCGGGCTGCTGCCTGGGGAGGGGCAGCCTCAGCCGGTGGCCCCCAACCTCCCAGTCCTCCAGCCCCCTGCTCCCTGCCCCAGCTCACCTAAGCTGATGTGCAGGAGTAGCTGGGCCTGCTTGAGCTCCACTGTGATGTAGTCACCCTGTGAGCCCTCCCCGTGCATCAGCACCCCATCCTGCTCTAGTGTCTTGAAGTTGAAGGAGATGTCATCCTCGAGGGTGCTGATCCTCTTGGGCCGGAAGCGGTAGGAGATGGCATCATCTCCATCAAAGTAGAGCACGTGGGACCCTGGGGAGTGCAGAGCAACCCCAGCCCCATCACTGCCTGCCTCAGCAGGGGCCTGGCACTGGGAATGCTCCTTTCTGCTGTGGTTTGTGCCAGAGCTAATGACTGCAGACCTCATGGATACCTGGCTGGGTACTCACGGTAGGGGCAGCCGTAGAGGCCCAGGCGCAGCCCAATCTTCCCGCGGGGGTTCCAGGCCACCGGGATGATGCGGATGTAGCGGGCGAGGATGGGATAGTGCAGGTCGTGCCGCACCACCCCACTCTCGTTCACGTTCCCGAAGAACGTCTGGGGATGAAGTGCCACTGTCAGCGTCTCTTGGGGCTGGAGGTCTCTGCTCCCCACAGGGAACTCCCACTTGCAGGGATCCCTGGGCACCTCAGTGGCACCTACCCAGTTGCTGCCCTGCTGGAAGAAGGGTTTCCAGCTGGTGGGGTGGTCTCCATAGAGCACAATGTAGCGTGTCAGCCAGTCGTAGGTGTTGAAGGTTCCCTGCGTGGCCACTGCGTTGATCCGGTGCTTTTGCATCAGGTCGATCTGCAGCCAGGGCTGCTTGTCCTGGCGATCG